TATTCACTTACACGTCACTATCACTGGGAAAGGTATGAATTCTCCTCTTTTCCCCAATCTATGGGTTAATTAGTAATACTTGTATTGTTAAATTATTAATATCTCAAATTCAAAAATTCTTACAATCTAAATTTTTTTTAGCTTGAAATAGACTACAAAAAGTTGATAATCCGTAAAAAAACAAATCCATCAATCAATGAAGTGATTAAGCATTTTCCACTTGATTCACAAAAGAACGGTATTAATTTATTGTTCTACTTATCTGTGATATTCTTAGTATCAAACATCGTTAACAGTAATAGCCTTGAGAATCTGCATTCACCAGAAAACGTGTCTTATGCTGTTTCTTAGAGTCACTTTCTTTGGTTCATTTTATCCGTCTTTACACTGGATTTATTTAACCTATAAATCAGGCCTGGTAATCTTTTACAGACAGTGGGTCGCATGATCTATGGCTTATCCCAAGGCGGGCCGCACCGCTAAAAACTTTCAAGGTAATAGTGATTACTTTCGTAGTAGGTACCTCAGTTACCTTCACTACAGTAGACCATATGCATATAATTTAGAAATGGTAGGAACGTTTTATTTTTTTAGAAAATATTGTTTTATATAATTAAAAAATTGAACTCATAGTATACTATTATCACTGATGACAGTCTGATTATCACCTGTCGCCGCGTTGGAATTATTTCTAATTTATTCTTTTGAAAATGAAAATATTTCTTTTTTAGAGAAGAAATTCTTATGAACGTTTCCTGTTTCAAAAGCAAAAGATCTTTACACCTATGATATTCCTTGTCCCTGATATTCGTCAATGGTTTAAAATGTCAACAACGTCACTTTACAAAATTCAAGAAAGGTTTAGGTTAATTTATTCAAGAAAGGTTTTAGTTAATTTATTCAAGAAAGGTTTTAGTTAATTTATTCAAGAAAGGTTTTAGTTAATTTATTCAAGAAAGGTTTTAGTTAGTTATTGCTTATCTATGAAAGATTTTGTGACTTTTTTTTTTTTTTTTAAAAAAAAAAAGGTTATTTCGCTTATGAAATTAAACGTGCCATTCCGAAAATGCAATTCCAAAAGAGCTCACGGGTCACATGTGGCCTGCGGGACGCAGTTTGACCATGGCTGCTATAAATCGAAACGATCCTAAGAGAACAAAGATCCGAAGAAAATCTTTTATTGATATGCACGAACGAAACTCAATCGGATATGCAGATGAGACCGTGTTAATGGCGAACCCAGAAAGAAAAAAACTGAAGGTATTTCTAGACAAGATGATAAAAGAAAACGAGAATAAAGTGGAAGCCATACGATCTGAATAAAAACAGGATTTATGGTCATTAGAACATGCAACAATCTAGGATGACAGCGACAAATATCAAATAAGTACGGAAAATGACTAAAGTACAAATAAATACAGAAAAATAACTGTATGAGAAACATTATCAGAAACGATGAAAAATGACATCAGAAGACGCAATGGAATAATGAAAGGTGCCTACCAAAATCTAAAGAAAATTTTAAAAGATAGGAAAATTTTGTTGGAAATGAAAATTGGAGTGCAGATCTATACATGATATCCATCCGCCTCGATTACAGTGAATGCTTGTTTATTTTCCTTTCGCGGTATTTCAACCTCTATCGGTTATTTAATGTCGAAATCTAAATATTTTAAACACAATTTTATGGTTTCAGCTGCAGAAAAAAAAATTTCTTGATCATTTTTCTATAAAATGTATTCTTTTTAATCTCTCTCTCTCTCTCTCTCTCTCTCTCTCTCTATCTATCTATATATATATATATATATATATATATATATATATATATATATATATATGTTGTAGCCTCTGTTTATCTGTTTGATATCGAACGTCTCCTAGGTTGTTGGAGATAGAGCCTCCCATAACCATATATATTCTGAAACTACATTACAGAGTACTTGGATAATTATATTTCATTCTGATCAAAGAGGGGCCTGGGGAGAGGGTTCACAGCCCACACTGATTTTTTTTCTCCGTTTGATATAAATTTAAAATTGAACAATGGAACGACTCTACGGGTACTTGGATAAGTATATTTAATTTCGCACTAACTCCCCACTAAAAAAAATTACCTTTGATTGAAATTAAATTTAAATTTGAAAAAGGGAATGACTCCTATCCAAAACACAGAAGGGGAAAGCAAGAAGATGGAGTTCACATCCGCAAGATCATTGAGTAATATTGAAATGCATCATTTTTATCTACATATTATAACAATAATTTAAAATCAATCATCATTTTCTTGCATAAAATGTTTGACAGGCAGAAATTCGGCTTGTACTATAAACTGTATTGCTAGTGTTTTTTTTTTGCTTTAATTATGTATTGTTGGTCATTTTACCCATGGCTGTAATGTCGAAAAGAAAGGATAAGACTAAACGTAACGAACCCCCAAAGAACCAAACGGCGGGATGGACAAAGATCTATACGATATCAACGGTCAAACCGGCAGAAGTCAGCACCAATCGGGCTGGCGTAACCCAGGCGCAGCTTGACACGCCAAGCATCTTGACAGCCCGATACAGCCATGTTTTTTTTCAGATCTCGTCTGTCTCAATTCCATTTGAGCCGCGATCATGTCACTTTTGGCCAAGTGTGTGGGCTTCTCTAGCGCGCAGAGTTATCCACCAAAATCAAGTTAGTAAAACACTGTCTGGCTTAATAATTAGCATCGAAAAGCCGTTTTTCTTTTTATTTTATTTTTTATTTTTTTGCTTTTTTAACCAGAGGTCGAATATTAACGAAAAATAGAAGAGTCGAAGATTCGAATATTATATATATATATATATATATATATATATATATATATATATATATATATATATATATGAGAGACCGAGATATGTCGATGGATAGATGTAAAACTAGGAGGATACTTGCCTGGTGTAGGGATCCGTCCCTGTGCTGGTGGTATCACGGCTACGACTAGCTTATACCAGTTCTGACCAGCTTGGACAAGCTATGACCAGCTAAGAACTGTTTAGACCAGCGGCCCGAATGAAAACACTCGGGTCCCCACGTTAAAAACTTACCTTGTATCACAACCTGACTCAGTAAATATCTATAAAACTAGGGGTTAAAGCCTAATAAACGTAGGGTCCATTAATTTTTACTAAATATAACAAACACAGATATACAATGTATTTAAATGCAATTTAAAAACTGAACGCTACCAACCCCAGAAGACCCCACGGCGGAATAGACAAAGACCTATGCAATCTCAGTGGCTAAACCGGTGGAATAGGACAGCGCTAGTCGTAACAAAGGCAGAACTTGACAGATCAAGCATCCGACATCCCGATACAACCAGGTTTGTCAGACAGCGCCTGTCTCAATCCCCTTTAAGCCGAGATGGGGTTGCTTTTGTCCAAGTGTGTGGGCTTCTCCGTCTCACAGACTTGTTCACCAAAATCAAATTCACGCGAATAGCTTCGTCAGACACTCTTTGATTCACAGCCATCTTAGTCACCGCCACCAAGAGTCGTGGATAAATGGAACAGGGAGAGAGGATAGCAATCACTATGCGAACTGGTGCAGACAATAACTATAAATATGCATTGTTGGTCAATTTGGTACATATAAAAATGTATTGATGGTATTTTTACTATAAAAATGTATTTTCATACTTGCATAACGTTTTGTTTTTGTTTGGGGCTTAACTATTTGCCCATACATGGATGCTGCTACCCGGGCCAGGATGAACGTGAGAACAGCAGCAATTAAGAGATTGTTCCACGCTACTCAAAAACTCCAATCTTCCCATCAGGGGCCATGTTGCCGGATGTATTTATCATGATACCCAGGACTAACAGTGAATGCTAAACAATCCCACAGATAAATAGGCAAGGCATCGGAGATTACCTTACACAGAAAAATGCCGTGAATATCATGGACAGAATATGTGAGCAACTAGGAAGTTTCATTTGCTTGACTGATTCGTTTATTACGGGTTATCAGCTTATTTAAAGCCATAAAATAATTTTTAGATGGTAATAATTTTTTTTATTTAGTACTGATTTAGGGATACTAGTCTTACTAATTAACCTATAAATTTTTGTGTAGAAGTTGATTCACACTTATCCCAATGGTTTTGCGCGAAAGTGCATATCACGAACCCGACTGGAATTGGAACTGAGCTCTCCGATTTCTAATTCCGACCTGTTATCCTTTACACCATCCGCACATCCAAGTCTACAGCTCCTGGTAATCCCAAGCGGTCTCCCATTAAGATGTTGAACACCTTCGACGTTGCTTAAGTTCTTTGATCGTACAGGATCCGGTGTTAAAACATGATATGGCCGTAAGAGAGGAAGTTTTAGTGAAAATGGGAACCAAAAGGATACTTGTGCTTCGAATAAGGAAGATCCAATTGGAATTGAAAAGAGGGTTTGGAGAATTTGTTATTTACAGGACATAGTGAAGGTCTTGATTTGGGGAGGGGGCGATGGTAAAGAAACAATCGTCGCGTAAGAAAGTGATTTTTGGAACTCGATGGCCGTCCACGTACTTAGGAACACGGCACATATAAAAAGCCGAACATTTACAGTGCCTATACTGGCTTCATTATTATTATTATTATTATTATTATTATTATTATTATGGTTGTTGCTGTTGTTATACGAAGAAGAAAAAGAAGAAGAAAAAGAAGGAAAAGGAAAAGAAGATAAAGAATAATAATAATAATAATAAGAAGAAACAGAAGAAGAAGAAAAAGAAGAAGAAAAAGAAAAAGAAGAAGTCTTGAATCACGTGTGGACATGTTTGTCAACAGTCGGTACATCCACGTGATTTCTCACAATCTCAACAGATCTTTGCTTACATTGCAACAAACTATTTCGGCACAAAGTTCGACCTGAAGCTAATCCCTGAATTTGATGGTACAGACCGCGGTTAGCCTATCGTTGAATGGTTTGAAAAGGCTGAACTAGTCTCTGATCTGTGCGGTGTGTAGTGAAGATATGTCCGTCAGTGAGGAAGAAATACTTGTGAGCGGGGATAGGCCAGATGATCCGACGGATGAAGAATCACTCGACGAGAAGAAACCCGCTCCAACCTGTCGTATCTGTGATCAGTAGGGAGTGAGGCGAATGTACGCCAGTACAGACAAAAAAAGAGGCCTATTTTAGTTTCAACAGACTCTTTGCTTACATTATAGCACAGACGCTTTTCCCGCGATTTTAAATCCTGTTTAAAACCATAGACCCAGTGAGTGACAGTTATGGATGAAAACTAGCGCAGCTGTTTTACAAAGATTAATTAGGGGCACCTTGAAGTGGTGTAATGGTTAACAAGCTTGTCTCGCTAGATCAATTACGACTGAGTAGTGAGTTCGATTCTCACTGAGTGCCCTCCTAATTTCGGCCTCGTGCCGCATCTAAGCTATGCTTGGAAAATCGCTACAAAGATTAATTATGTTATATGACTTTCCGTGATGAAAGTAATTTTGAGCTGGTCAGCAATGGCAGGGAATGGTGCCTTAGCAAGTGCTAGGTAAACTTTCATACTTTTTTTTACTAATGTCACCCCAGTTAGCCATAGCGTAGCTTCCCTGCGTCTTTCGTATAAATGTCTTATTTCTTGGCTAGTACCACGACTTCACAAATTTAAACGCAGTACTAGATTGGCATGTAGGTCTCTTCATTTCATTGATGAAGTTGTTTCTTGTGACAGTAAATTCTAATAGTTCCTTCTTTCGCAGTTCTCACTAATGAAACTCTCTTCCAGCATCTTGCCTTCGTATCAACTACGTTTTTCAAAAATTTTAAATGGTATGTCAATCATTTTCTGTCTTCTTGATTCCTGTTTTTTATTTCCCTTTCTGTTTCTGTCACTCTCAGTAACCCCTTGTAATCATAGTGGCTTTTATTAACTTGCTGGGTTGAAAAGACTCAAAAAAAATCAATTTATTATTCATATGATCTACATATGAGGTGTGGGCATGATGTCACCGATCCGACTTTCCAAAATTTTACCATACTTAATTTTTTTTTCAGGAATTCCCGCTTGATTGGGCTGATAAGTTTTCAGAAACCTGCCCCTATATACCTATAAACTTATAGCAATGGCATATAACGCATTCTCTAAAGAGATGGTGACCAGCTATGCCTTTTAGACCATTTGTTTGCGTAGTGAGTTCACTTCTCACTCGGTTATTAAGTATTCTGGCTTTGTGCCGGACAAAGTTGAATATTGTACCTTCAAGCGATAGCTCACCACCCGCTCTTGTTTCGTAAATCGCTCATCTTGTGAGTTTCGACGGTGATATATTTTCGATAATTAACAATTGAAAAATAATAAACAGAAGCGCCAGATATTCGAACAGATAATGCTATGCACCAAACACAAGAGTTATAGCAATTAAATTATTATTTTCGTCAATTTCCCATCGCTGCATAAAACAATTCTTATTTGCTTAGGGACGCTTTATTTTCTCAAATAATTTTCTCAGCGGCGAGGGTGAGGCAATGAACAGCTGCTCAGAATATGAAATCGGAGACCCGTGTTCCAGTTCCAAGCTGTTTCGTTATATCCACTTATACGCAAATACCTTTGAGAAAGGTGTAAATCTATCTCCTCCCACCAACCATGGGTTAAATAGTTTGATTTCTATCCTTAGAAAAAAGAAAAGAATTATAATCCCAAATATTTTTCGACGTTAACCCCTTCCCCGCCAATAACTTTCGGAAGAACGTTTCATTCTGAAACGAAATCTTTTACTTGTATTTAATATAGTAACTGACAAATTGAGGCGCCTTAAAATACCCGATCGGTGGCTACCACCTCTACCGGGCGTGTGAGTAGACATTTGGACTCGTTTCAAGCTCAGAATGGCATAAAATAAATCAAGATCAATGTATAAACTCACCTGCAGCTGGGTTTTGAACGTTATGTTTTGGGCGTGCTTATTCGATCGTATCTGTAAAAGACAATTTCGCCTAAAACGTATACACACGTCTACGCCGAGAAAGGAGTTAAAGAGTGTACTTTCTTCCTGGTATCAGAAATTCCACGAAATTAATATTTCAGGCAGTACTTGTATTTGTTAGAAAAGTGTATCTTTCATTTCCCTAAATAACAGTGGCTAAGCGAACTTAGCATAAATCTTACGAGGTACAGGCGTCATTCCGTGGTTGGGCTTGTCTAGGCACGTTTCAGTGTTGTCTTTTACGAGCTTTATTGTTAGGAATGTCATCAAGGAATTTAATGACACCATGAAGATGGATGGTTTTGCCGAACCTTCTAGTAAAAATATATCCAGTCTGATGCCCTACGTACGATATAACGGTTTCTTTGAAGATAACACAAGCTGGATATAAATCTAGTTTCGGGACCACTCAGTGGATCTCCACTGGGCCCCACGTAGGCCAGAATCTATGTCCGTTGAGCATGTTTAGTTATTATTTAGTGCAGACATCACTAAATTATTGCATATTTTCCACTGTAAACCTCTTGCCAGTTAATATGTTTAACGAAGTTAATGTGATGTGGGTCCAAAGTTGAGACCACGGAAGGAAAACACGGAACACGGATTAGAGGTAAGAAAGATATATTAAACAAAAAGGTTACAAAGATAGTGTAAGTGTAAACGGAGCTTACTATGTGCTAGTGTCCAATATTGGTAGTCGTACGCGGCTGATACTACGGTATTAGAATTTTCATTTTCATTTTCATTCTCTCTCTCTCTCTCTCTCTCTCTCTCTCTCTCTCTCTCTCTCTCTCTCTCTCTCTCTCTCAGTATTATATCGCATACTTTATATAGTCCCGGAAGAGTCCATGTTGTAGGTATGTTACGGTCTCACAACACTATGTTAACTAACAGTGTTGTGGTTGTGGGTGATGAAAGCACACCAAATTCAAATTCCGATAATAGACCTTGCCTTCAGTAAAAATGAATGCATTTCATCTGTCCCAGCTATGGGTTAAATAGCAGCGAAGACTGGATCCTCTAGCCTTGGTCATCAACCGATCTAAGATAAGGATAAATCTAAATTGGAAACCGGTTGCACCTGGAGCTGGTAAAAAAATAAGATTACTTAGTACAGAAACCACAGAAATTACCTAAGCGTACTGAGGCGTAGCTATATACAATTTGTAAGTTAGAAGGATGCGTCGTCGTTGTCACAGTAAATTGCAAAATAGAATAATTTATGATCTGTTTTACTCAAATTCATGTGACAAGATTCATTTTTGATGAGTTTCCATATTAGGAAAATGGAAGCAGTTTGTAAGAATCTGTGATGTTTAGGACGATAAATTGATCTCCAACACGAATGGAATATGTAGAATGATAAAATCGTTACGAGTTTTCATTCCTACATTTACAATCGGCCATCTTTTTGCTCTTCAAGACAAAATATGTATCAGAAATACGAAGTCAAACCAGTAGCATAATGAATTAGCGTTCATATTGATTCTTAATTAAATTAATTATGACTGCCATAAAAAGACAAAAATTATTTTTATTACCACTCATCATAATATATAAAAAGTAAAAAACTGAAAAACGGGCTAGCTAACCGGATACGAACCTCGCTCAACAGAGGTAAATCGTGGTTAATAAATTAAACAGAATTATCACTAAAAAAAAGATGGACAATATGTATTGAAAAAAATATATTGCATAGATGGAAATTAGTTGGACGCCCAGTACGAAGTTCTATTTACACAGAGGTCTTCAATGATAAAATATAAATGGCCTCCAACACTTTCAAGTGGTAATTCGAGTGGGTCTTGCTAAAAATGGTAAACGAGTCCACACTGAAACTAGTAGCACAATTATGACTATTTATTAGGCGTTCTGCGATGGAAGACCCGTATGTATTGGTCAGAATGTCTGAAGGAATGCACTTAAGATTGCAGATTTCATATTGATTCTTAATTAAATTAATTATATTTATATTTTTAACATTTTGAGAGAAAAACAAAAACATTTTCAATTGGTCAGATCTGATCATATGACGTTCTCCTTGATCCTTCTGCTACGAATTCTCTCATTTGTTTCAATTAAAATTTCCCGCTGAATTCTATGTCAACGGCAACTGGGAAGCAAATGAAAAATCAATTTAAATTTGGTTGAATCGTTAAAAAAAAATACAAACCAGAAAGAAAACAGATGGAAAATCTGATATTAGATTAAATGCTGATAAAGGGGGGACAACGAAAACTAAATTATAAATTTAATTGGATCAGAACGATTAAGTCTTTACAATGTCGCAACATTTCTACTCATGCATTTGTTGTTGATAGGTATTAGCCTTTGCATGGATATATATACTTCAGACGTACTGTCTAAGTGAATATAATTTTACCCAGCCTTAAATGTATATATAGAGATACGCGCATTTAATACGAGGTATGCCAATTTAATTCCAGGAAAGACCCAGTGAGAGCAAAATTTGCTCCTTGCTCACTGTTGGCGGTTGTCAATTTCAAATTGTTCTTCTTGAAAAGCAAGGTGCTTCATTTGACGATGGTCACCATAAATCATCATTTACCTCCCTTTAAGATCTAGGAGGTATTAAATGCACCCTGTTAAACCCGTCAGTAGACGAGTAGTTAGAGTAACGTGCAATAAAGCTTTGGTATAAGTTTATTCACTGGTTATGTTTTTACTACAGTGTCATTACTGGAAACATTCTTGGAACTCGTAATGTAGCTACGTGTTTTCCGTGTGTTAGGGATGTCAGCATATATTTTACAGGGGGATGGTGATAAGGGTTAGCCACTTCTCCGGTCAGTCTGCACCTATTCTCGAATTTCCTAGAACTGCCCGTTCCTCTCGAAGTTTTTACAATGAATATTTACAACGAAACTCCTTTAATTCTGATCAAGATAATTTCATTTGGTATAAGTTTATTCACTGATTATGTTTTTACTACAGTGCCATTACTGGAAACATTCTTGGAACTCGTAATGTAGCTACGTGCCTTCCGTGTGTTAGTGATGTCAGCATATCTTTTACAGGTGTATGTTTTTTTTTTTTTTTTTTTGTTTTGTTTTTTTTTCACTTTTGGGAACCATCATAAAATAACAATCAGGTAAATATGGTGAATCAGTCAGATGGAAACTCGCGATCCCCTAACGCTTTGTGCACAGAGGCATGGTGGTGGGGGCTAACCACTTCTCCGGTCAGTTTGCACCTATTCCCGAATTTCATAGAACTGCAAGTTCCGCTCGAATTTTTTTTTTTTTTAACGCGATTTAAAAAAAAGAACTCAATATTTACAACGTCACCCCTTTAATTCTGATCAAGACCATTTCCTTAACTTCACCGCTCTCGCATAAATTGTTCACGTGAACAGAATATGGATTCAACTTGTGTTGTTACAACTGAAAATCTCCAACTTCTACATTACGTGCAGGTTCGTGTCGTCTCCGTTAAAACAATGGAAAAAAAAACATGTTCGAACAAGTTGTGTAAAATACTCATTTGTTGATCCATGTATTAGCAAAACATGTGTGCGTTGCTGCCTTGTCGGAAGCCCTGTGGCAAGCGAAATATATTTTCGGCACGAAACTAAAGCATTTACATCGATGACAGGACTCAAAAGTGGTTTTCTTTCCCGGTTTCAAGTTTCACAATATTTATGGAAATCAATCAATTTCAATTGCTCTATGTCTCCGGCTTCAACAAGTGGGTAAATGTCGTGAAACAACGAAGCCGCATAGCAAATCTAATCAAATGAAAAGAGTGATGGCTTTTCTTTGGCCCTGTTAGGACTCATTCATTCCTAGCTGGGGGTTATTGCAAATATATTAACTTTGTGCCAGGTGGCGGTACGCCTAGACAACACCTAATCATTGCACTTTGAGTAGGGCCAGATTTAATATATGTTGCTAGAGGTTTTCCAGGAAGAAACTCAGGGAAGAACTTGCACAATTTCTGGACCTATCCCACATACGCGTTGGGGGGTATATTAAAAAAACGTAACCAGTGTCGATTGTACACTAAGCATATGTTTACTGCACTGGCAGTCTGAGGAAAGATTGACTTTAACGTTTTTACATGTCATATCTCACTACTTCTCATTTATTTTTTGAGTCTTTTTTTGTAATCATGCTCTATTAGAAAATGGATAGACAAGGACGGTGATTATTTGCATGTTTCCAGCTCATTGTTGAAGTGTCGTATATGAAGCCTGACAAAGTGCTGGGTTATTTGATGCAATATCGAAATCAAATCCGTGTGGGTATCTGAGTGACCATAAAAAACTGCCGAAAAAAAATTGCCATGTAGTCATTAGTTCACACATATACTGCGAAATTACCTAGTTTATGTCGATGGAACTAGTTACTTCATTGTCACTGACCGCAGAAAACTTTGATGAACAGGTCTTGAAAAATTAATGTATGATATAAATATGCATTATCAAGAAATGGTTATGAGCTATTATGTACTAATTATAATTAATTCATTTTTATTATTAATCCTGCGATTGATTGCTAGTTTAAATCCTATAATTAATACCTATTACCGTTTTAAGAATCCTATAATTAATACAGTTTATCTTTTTGTTTGGGGTGGGGAGTCTTTAGAAACCTATAATTAATACAGGATTTTTCATGGTTTACTTCTTTTTATAAAAACATGATTAAATTTCTATTTTAGAAACCCATAATTAAAAGGGGATATTTTTTTTAGAAATTTATAATTAATAGGGGAGATTTTTAGAAAACTATGATAAAAAATATCTTAGGAACCTATAATTAACAAGAGAGTTTTTATATACCAATAATTAATTGGGGATTTTTAGAAACCAGTGATTAATAAGGGAGATTTTAGAAATGTATAATTTACAAGGGATTTTCAGAAGTCTATAATTTATAAGGAGATTTTTAGAAAAAAATATGATAAATACGGCACATTTTAGAAATCTATGATTAATCAGGTATTTTTTAGAAACCTATAATAAATACGGGAGTTTTTTAAATTAATAATTAATAGGGGGCATTAGAAATCTATAATTAATATCGGGTTATTTAAGAAACCTATAATTAATATGGGTTTTGTACATCTTTTCTTTTTTAAAAACCTATAATTGAATTTCTGGTTTAAAAAATTATAATTAATATATATACTTAATAGTGGATTGTACGGTGGTAATTATTGAATTAATAATTTAGATGTAACCAGCAGTAGAGCTCGGCGTTGCCCGGGGATGTAACAGTAAGAGATAGATCAAGTATCGACCATCATAAAGACTGAAAAATAAAATTGACAAAGATTATTGTTTAAGGTTGACGGACACGCATGTCTTAATTAGTTTTTTTGTTTTTTTTTTGTTTTTTTTTTACGAATTGGTCAAACCCAAACTCAAACAAAAACATTATTTTCCATCGTTATGAGTCTACCGACTGAATAGAATTTTTCAATTTTATTATAAACAATTGTCTTGTAAATGGAATTTTTAAAGCATTCTGAATGTAAAAATAAAGAAAAAAGTGTGCAAGACAATAAGAAACAATACCTGCCAAAAAACAAGTGAAGTTTTGTTGAAGTCAGTTGAAAAATGTAGGAAATCCGATCCCATATATAAACGAACACACACTGGGCACCTCGGCGTGGTGAAATGGTTAGCAAGCTTGTCTCGTTAGATCAGTTACAACTGAAAAGTGAGTTCGACACACTACGCTTTGAAAATAACTATAAACGAACACACACACACGTACAACCTGGGTTTTATAATAAGTATAACTCGATATGAGTTGTCCCCCTTTCATTCTCAAAACACCGA